CCCCCCCCGGGGAATTCATCTCATCTCGTTGAATCCGAGTTCCACTGTATTTCCCTTGAATGTATTACTGGATCCCTTACAACGAGAATCCTGCTATAACGGACATTTCGCACTGGTCCCCTCCCTCTCATTATAACAGGATTCCACTGTAATATTGTAGAAACCACTGCTATCATGTTCTTCCAAATGCAGATATTTCTTGTACTCCCCCCTGACACATCATTGTCTTTTCCAACAAATGAATACCAACAACTTGGCTTAAGACTTTGAAGGAGATTTTTGTGACAGCTCAGCATATTTACCAGTCCGGATAGAACAAGAGCTGACCCCTGTTAGGCAGGAAGTAAAACAGAATCAGTTTCCTAGTAAATCACCATCATCCTTTCTCATCCCACCCGTGCCACCAACAACAGCTCTCCATGTACTTCTGCCTTGGCCTAGTCTTCACCTCTGTCCAGCTGTGCCTTATCTCCTATAGGTCCAAATCTAAGCTCCTCCTCCAAATATTTTTGAGCCTTAGTTCTCTCTTTTCATGTGGATCTATCTCTATAGTATAAGTTCAATGGTTAAAGCTTGTTTTTCGTTTTCTCAAGGTATGTCCAATCCACTTACAACTTCTCATGTGATTTTTTGTCTATTTTCTTATGCACTGTAAATCGGGCTTGCCAACGCTGCGTAATTTTGGGTCCATTTGCCGGTGTATTTTTTTTTTTATCAGAGCAAAACGCAGGTGATAAACTTTCTCAAATTCGGTCGGCTCTATTCTAGACACAAATATGAATGAAACTTGGCAACCAAACAGAAAATAGGGCAAACTGATGAGATGTGGAAGTTGAAGTTTGTAGGCCTAGTTCTAGATCTACATATAAATTACCTGTTTAAAAATTTTTTTGGGTGTTGGAAACACTTTTATATCAGTATCAGGTATTGCTTGATTTTCAACGTCGAGAAGGCAAGAGATCAGTCTTTCCTCTTATAGATAGTGTAGCCTACTCAAATTCGAACATAGCCGTTTAGAAAGTGCCTAAACATTGGTATGTGGAAATATGCCAAGGATGGCAACCATCCTTTATTTAGTTCAGCAGACCCTATTTTTAGTGAACAATAAAATTTCAATAATATAGAGTCTAGATCAGCGGTTTTGTAGTTTTGTTCGCTAAAGTCAAGAGCAGGGGGGTTTCAGGGAGCCCCCCAACCTAATAAAAATATGGAGGGTGGGGGGGGGTTCAGGGGGGCATGCCCCCCTGAATTTTATCCTAATTTGATGTTTTGCAGTTAGGTTGCATCCGTACTCTTTGTATAGCCTATTTCAAATAGTATTTGGTCATCAAGACTTCTGGTTTCTTCTCTGGATGTAAACAAATGGATCGTGGACTTAAACGAACGGAACTACAAGATCAACTCTAGATTTAGATCTAATAGATCAATGGAGTAAAACAGAATCTTAACAAGCGATGTAGAACCATCCTGATAAACCAAGTTCTGTTTGCGTTGGAGATTAAGGAAAGGGAAAGGGGTGCAGAAGCAGGGAAAAGGGTGCAGAAGCTCGGGAAGGGTTCCTGTAAGCGTGTATCCCTAAGTGTAATTCAGGAAAGGACACATCATGATCATGCAAGATCAAGAATGAGAATGCATGCAGGCCTGGCACTCAGGGGATGACAAGACAAAGTCACAAAAGCCTTTGTCAAAGAGGAACTGCAGGCAATTCACTGAAAGTGGGTGACTCTATTCTTCGCGTCAGCATAGTTCATAAATGAGCATTTTGACTGGAACAATGGGTACCGAACAATGACTTCAGCTCGATCTATTTTATCGTTCGCGTCGGTCCAACATAACGTGAACTTACAAGCCAAGGAGGACAGGCTGAGCAGTTACAGCTATGCTATGGCATGGCAATGGGCAACGAGCCAACTGAAGCACGTGCGCTTTAGTTTAGAATAAAACTATTAACTACAAACTTAATATAGTTATTAACACTACAAATAACTTAAAATAAAAGTCGTTTCATACTTCCGCTTGACTTCTGACTTGGTTTTCTGCGCTCATAAGACCCTGGAGCAGGTTCTGAACTTCTTGTGGACCCGCCATCTTCGTGTTTTTTTAATGACATGCACCGTGCTACTTGACCCGGAAGTTCCTGTATTACTTTTAAATGCCAGTTTAGCATAGGGTTGAGAACTCAAAATATAAAAAGCCTGGCATAGAGTCTATAAAGGCTAAAAACAGAAGCGGTCTTGCAGACCAACCAAAGTCTATTATTTCTACTTTTCTGAGAACATTGGTTCTCACTTCCGCCCCACCCCGCCCCGCCCCTCACCTCCTTTTTTCATATAAAAAATGTAATTAAGAAAACTATCACCGTAATTCTGGGCCAAGGTATCCATCCATAGCCGATTCAGTCGATTTCATATTCTTTGACTTTGTTGACCGTAGAGTGACCATCACTAGTGGCCACGGCAAAAAGGCGCGTTTCACAAAATCTCACATACATTGGTTCATTTTTCAATTTTTACTTTCACTTTTCTTTCAGATTTTGACTTCTTGTTGTGCCCTGATTACAGCAGTAAGTAACAGCAATGATAGTAAATAACATATCATTGGTAACAGTACATGACTAGATCTAGATCTACATACATGTTCGTTGAATACATACATGTAGATCTAGATCTAGTGTCAGTCTATCTAGATCTAGATCTAGATATAAAATCTAGCTCAGACTGTGACTGTTGCAGGCTTGGCAGGCCGTCGCTTTGCCTCGCTAGCATTATAATGGCTTTAGAATTAAAATGTTAAAAAAAACAGTTCCCGATTCTGTCAGTCTTGTCGTCACTGGTGACTTTCCCCCTTCTTGACTCGTGACCTCTTCTTGATTTACAAATAGATCTAGATTCTAGATCTAGATCTAGATCACTAAAATCTAGAGATACTGGACTCTAGCTAGATCTAGATTTAGATCTAGATTCTAGATCTATTTAGATCTATAAGATCTAGATCTAGATCTAGATTTATATAATATTCTAAATAGGCCTACTGTAGGCCTGGATCTAAATCTAGATATTATATAGATCTAGGTTAGATCTAGATTAGATCTATAATTTTGTAGATAAAATTGTTAACATTGTCATTAAAATTACAATATTCATCACCATTGCCTTTCTCACCCTGGATTAGGATACCGGATATAATAGGCCACGAACAAACACTCTCCACCTTTCCCTATCCTGAGCTAGATTAGATCTAGTCACTTGATGTCACACCACGTCTTCCCACTTTTCTGTACATGATCCATTTCCATAAGACTCTTCTCCAGGTTCCACGTGGTCTTCCTCTTGATCTTTTACCCTGTGGGTTTCAATCTAACACTTTTCTTAAATGCTGCTGCTAGACTTTTTGAAAGTGTGTCCAATCCATTGCAACGTCTTCTTCCCACCTCACCTCTGACTGGGCTCTGTCTCGTTCTTAAACTTCCTCGTTGGTGATCCTGTCTGTCCATTTGATCCTCAGTAGCTTCCTCAGACACTTGTTTAAGAAAACCTGGATCCTCTTTATACAGTGGAACTCGGATTCAACGAGGTCGCCAGGCCTGACCTAAAACCTTGTTGAATCCAAGTGTTCGTTATGGCAAACACGAGGTTTTTTTTGTAGATCAATTACACGCCCTGAGCAAGTAATGTATAAAGAGAAGTCACAAGTAGTGCCTGAAATGCCTGCATATATATATATATATGAGCTGTGTAAAAAAAAAAAAAAAGACAGGTTCATTGAAATGCACACGCCTGTGTCATCTCGATTGTTTACCAAAAGGTTGTGCTGCTGTGTAGAGCCTAGCCTAGCATGGGGCAACTTTTGATTTCACAGACAAGCACACAATTCATTACCGTTTACGTAGATGTATGTGAAAACCAGCTTATCATTGTACGTTCCAACAACGCACACAGACAAGCACACAATTCATTACCATTTACGTAGATGTACGTGAAGACTAGCTTATCATTGTACGTGCCAACAACGCATGTGTTGGTTCGAAAAAAGGCCGCTGGTTGGTTGCATGCAATCGTAAGTGAATAATGGTTAACGATGCAGGTGCAATGGGTGATTTCCAGGAATAGATAAAGTTCGTTGAGGGAGAAAAATGAGCGAAGCCACGTCTGCGGGGACTGTTCACCCTGGAAGCGACCTCGTTGAATCCGAGCTCGCTGATTTCATTGCTCGTTGAATCCAGGTTATTTTTTTTTATTTTAAAGAAGGAAAAAAACGGGGAATCTATCTCATACCGTTGAATCAGAGTTCTCGTTGAATCAGAGTTCCACTGTACACGTTTGGGATGAGTTCCACGTTTCACATCCATACAACAAGACTGACTTCACATTTGAGTTGAAAATTCTAAGCTTTGTTCGTAATGAGATATCCCTGGTCCTCCAAATCCTGTTCAAAGAAATAAATGCAGTCTGTGCCTTTCCAATGGGAGACCTTATTTCAGCGCCTGTTCCTGCCTCTCTGTCAATTATACTCCCAAGATAGCAGAAGGATTATACGTCTTCAAGAGCATTTCCTTGTACTGTGACCTGTTCCTTTCGTAGTGCATCTATCCTTAGGACTTTCGACTTTCCGGGGTGGATCCTCAATCCAACAGACTCTGATATATATGCTGTTTAAAATTGTTGTCTTTGCTTGCATCTGTTCCTGAGTGTGTGACAGAAGCGCCAAGTCATTTGCAAAGTCCAGATTGTCCAACTGTGTCCATGGGGTCCACTGTATACCGTTTCTGTGTCCTCTGATGGTTTCCTTCATCAGCCAGTTGATTGCCAAGATAAAGAGGAAAGGTGATAGTAAACATCCCTGTCTCACACCAGTCTTGATGTCAAAGCTGTCAGTGAGCTGGCCATCATGTATAACCCTGCAACTTGTCCCTTCGTACATGCTTTCGATGAGGTTAACCAACTTCTGTGGGATTCCGTGATGTCTCAGTATCTTCCACAGCATTGCAATATTATAAGTTTATTATTCAATTCTGCTGGTCTAGATGTAAGTCTGATTGGGTAAGAGTAGTTCAATTTCTAAAAATATTCCCCAGCCTAATGAAATGACAAAATTTAATTTCAAAAGAACGCCTCTCTCAGACTTACATAGAGGTTACCATAAATTTGCTTTTCTGCATGATGATGATGATGCCTATCTTTTGATTTTGCCTATTTTAATTTATCAAGGTCCAGTATTTTCTATAGCCTACAGTAGTGCAGCCTCTCTATATCGACCTTCGATTGATTTTCTATAATGACGTCCTCTGTATAGTGACATGGTGTCCAGGTCCTGATTTTTTCCTTATAAATTATCTAGTAGTTTTTCGTTACCTCTCTATAAGGACATCTCCCTAGGCCTATTACAACATAATTTTTTGGCGGGGTCCTATCGTTATAGAGAGGTTGCACTATATTATTATATCATGTGTTATATCATTATATATATATATATATATAATCGTTTGTACATTCACATGTGTATTTCTATTCTTCATCTCGTGTTCTTTGATTTGCTTGTTAACAGTATTTTCTCTTGATCTCATCATGTACGTTCTTTGATTTCTTTATATTGCAGGAAGTCAGTATGAAAATCTACTTTGCTGGTAGCATCAGAGGGGGCCGCCAAGATGTTGGTATCTACTTCAGCATCATCCAGCAGCTCAAGGATAACTACGGAGAGGTGCTCACCGAGTTTGTGGGAGACAAAGACTACTCTATCGACGACCCAAGTGTGTACCTGTTTTCTAATGGACGTTTTGTTTGTTTGATTTCTTTGCTAGCAGTTTTCTTGTCTACTCATTTTCGAGGTTGTGAAGTTGTTGTGTATTGTGGGACAGATGTACTGTGTCCTGTGTAGGCGTCTTGACTGACTTTAATTTATTGATTTGAGATGATCTCTGTACTGTACACGGATAGGTCGAACACAGAAGACTCAAAATCATGCATCCGTCGACCTGTGCCTGCGCTCCTGTTTATCAAGATATTCAAAGAAATGCTTTCGAGAAGCTTGATCATGTTGGGAAACTGTTTTAATGTCAGATTTCTCAAAACTTGGTACTGAGCTGATAAAACTTTGTATTTCTAGGGTAGATAGTGATTTGTCTTCAGTACATTTGTATATAAAAGAAGGAATTTGATAATGTGCTACAAAGTCTAGGCTTTTACCAAAAAAATGTGTCGTCTTGAAAGAAAATTTAACCCATTAAAATTTGTTTAGACCAGTTTCTTTTTTTTCCCTTTTTCTGATCTTTACAGACAGAATGCCGGATAAAGAGATCCATGATACTGATGTCGGTATGCTGTCAGAATGCGACTGTAAGTGCAATTTAAATTTCTGGGTGTTTTTTATGACATTTTCATGACGTGTTTACCCTGTCTCACACTTACATTATGGGTGGTTGGTGGGTGCTCTGGTGTGGCTTGCTTCTTCTTTCTCATCAAACATCTATCGTCCTTATCTCCCCTTCTTCTTTTTTTATGTTTTGTTACTCTCTTGTAACGACTCTAATCTAAAAACTCTTACTAAAACTAAAACTAAACTGAAGACTTACATAGTGTGTTCTTTGTCTCTGGCTCTCTCATGAATGGTGAGAAAGTGCAACTGCTAGGTCTTAGTCTTATTTCTTTTCTTTTCTTCATTCCCCAATTTGTTTAAATCCATTGATTCTGTTTGTCCGTCATACTTTTTCTTGCCCGAACTGGCCTTTTTTTTTTGTCAGTGTGCTTCTTTTTTCTCAAATCTCTCTCTCTTTCTCCCTCTCCCTCTCCCCCCCCCCCTCTCTCTCTCTCTCTCTTTCTCTCTCCCTCTCTCTCTCTCTGTCTCTCTGTCTCTCTCTTTCTCTTTCTCTCTTTTTCTCTCTCTCTCTCACACACACTCTCTCTCTCTGTGGGTGGTTGGCGGGTGCTGTGGTGTGGTTTGCTCCTTCTTTCCTATCAAACATCTATCGTCCTTATCTCCCCTCCTTCTTTTTTATGTTTGTTAGTATGTTACTCTCTTGTAACCCTTCTAATCTTCTGGCGCTCACACAGTTGCGAGCACCGTAAAACTTCTACTTAAGCTAAAACTAAACTCTCTTTCTCGATCTCTTCTTTCTTTTCTCTCTGTTTTTATTTCTTTCTCTCTTTTTATCTCTCTATCTCTGTGTGTTTTTTCGCATCTGATGGCTCTTGTCACTCAAATACTGTAGTCTCCGCCTAACGCACGGTACTCGGGAGGGCTCCTTAGCGTGTGATTATACGGAGCGTGCGTTGTTTACATGAACCTTTGCAAAGGGAGGAAGGGACGCAGTCATCTCATTGCCTTGATATTCTAATGACCTCCTTTTGGGGTGGGGGTCACTTTGGGCCGATAATGTGATGACACGTGACTGTTTTGTAAAAGATTCCCCGACTGCGGTTAAGACTGCAAAGGCGTTGAATGGGTGTTGGGGGGGCAGAGAGACAGGCTCGATGTAATGAATGCACCATAAAAATATGTCGCGAACCAATAGCCTAAAAAGAAATTGTTGGTGATAGTCATAGAGACGACGGCCCAGACAAGTGGCTTTCCAAGCGACCACCCCCGACCGTAAATTCATGAACGAGCATTCACGCGTGTTGCGCATCATAGGCTTAGGTCTAACTAAACATTAGCCAACACTTCTTTTTCTTTTTCTTCTTCTATCCTGTGGTTGGGGTAACCGTTGGGGCACCACTGCATTGGAAAACCAGCTCTCGCCATCTATCTTTGTCCTCTCCTCTCCTCAGATTGTCACCCATCGTCTTTCCTGTCCACTCTGTAATGTTGTCCTCCCGTCTCCTTCTCTGCCTTCCTCTCTTTCTCTTTCCTTGTACGGTTCCTTGCAGGATTATTTTGGCAAGTCTTGTAGATCTTGTGACATGCCCATACCATTTTAGTTTTCGTCTCTTCACTGTGGTCAGTAGATCTTCATATTGCCCCACTGCGTTGGTGATTCTCTTTCGTACTTCAGCATTTGAAACGTGGTCTTTGCACGAGATGTCAAGGAGTCTGCAGTAACATCTCATCTCAGTGGTCTGAATCTTTTTCTCTAATTCTGCTGTTAGTGTCCATAATTTGCAGGCGTATAGAAATATTGAGATGACCAGTGAGCGCATTAGTCTAATTTTTTTTTTTTTGCCAACACGCAGTCACTCAAACCCCAGTCAGAAACCTTCTCTCAAAGAGATGCATTTCCAGTGACCAATCAAATAACGTTTCTGTCCCCCAACCTCCCAACATATGACCAACCAGTCCCAGACCTATGTGTCTGGAAAGTGGTGTGTGAAAATGCTGTCCATCACTCTCTTTGTTCGGCGTACGGGGCAGTCTCGCAAAATATCCGGTTTTCTAGGCTTGTCTTAAGCAAGCTATGCAGATCGTACAGTAGTCGTAGTGAAATTTCCCTTAGTCAAGCTTTACCTGTCAGCGTGTTTCGCAGATTGGAACGTGCATTTAGGGGGAGTGACCGTGCGTTTGTACATCAAAATTATATAGTAAAAAAAAAACGTCAGAGGACGAAAGCGTGCGTTTGAGCGGAGCATGCTTTTGTATGGCGTGCGTTTAGGCGGAGACTACTGTATAAGAATGAATCCACTTTTCCCCCGCAGGTGTGGTTGCTGAGGTGACCCAGCCGTCCCTTGGCGTGGGCTACGAACTAGGCAGAGCTGTGGCCATGGGCAAAAGAATCCTGTGCTTGTTCAGAACAGACGAAGGCAAACGTAAGCTCCTCTTTTTTACCCTACACTGTCCCCGTCGTTTTATGCAAGAAAAATTCTGAAATTATGCAAACTGAGCCCAAAAATGTGAAATTATGCAATTCTGTTAATTTTAACATAGAATGATAAAGGAAAATTATCAGAAATTATTTTTTTAAATGATCAAATTTTACTAAATTATGCGGGGTGCTTAAAACCACGGGGACAGGCTACAGTTGACCGCACTTGTGTTGAACTCGCTTGGGTTGATCTTTGGTTAGGTTGATCTTTTTCTGGGGTCCCAGCACCTCTTCTTCTTTACACGTCCCAACGGTTAAGTTGAACTTCGGATGAGTTGATCTTTTTTTTTTCTCTCTCCCGACGACATCAACTCATCCGTGGGCAACTATGGTTCGAGCCTCATCTCCGTCGGATGTTGTGTCCTTGGGAAAGGCAATTAACTCTAATTTCCCTCTTGGCTCAGTCCTTTCAGAGATGAACGTTAAACTCTGAAGTCCCGCCTCTTAAATAACCTAATTGTGTAGATAGGAGCGTTAAACCTATACCATTTCGTCATTTTGTAGTCGACTATAGTTGTTTTTCCAGCAAGTACTGCATGTAGTACAGTACAGTCAGTGGGATCCGGTCAGGGCAGAAGTTAGGAAGTGGGTCGTGAATTTTTATTGGATGGAATTGAGCAGAAATACAAGTAAAGATGACCTCTGATGTGCTCCAACTTGTTCTAGACGTCGTTTGTCTGTTCACAGGATTTGTTTCTTTTAGTAGGCTATTTAGCCTCTTGGATTTCTGATGGATACGGAGATCTGTCCCAGAATCTAATGTATAAATGTGTGAGACTCCTACTCCTTGATTAGTGTCTTCAGCTTATTTGCTTAAAAGTGTGCTGACTTTGAATTTTACTTAGTTATTTTCTACAATACAGATGAGTGGGTGTTGGGGGAGGGGGGTTATAGTTGCAGATAGATAGTGGTAATGTAATAGCAATCTGGGATTTTTAGATTTTGAAAACTTTCGCTGGTACTGGTAATAATGATACATTATATTTATAAGCCTCTGGAAGGGCCTTGTCCAGGTGAGGCCTATTTTTGACACTTGTTGGACGTGGCATTTTCAACACCAAGAGGTAAAAGTATACAATCCTGAGTGGGGAGGCTTTATAACTTTATAACGAGTATCTCAGTCTTTCTGCTGGGATGTTGTATCCCTCTCAGCACGAGTTGGCCCTAACAGGCAGGGTCAGAAAACTTGCCTCCTCATTGGTCTAGTCTAAATCGTTGTGTCAATGGAGGCATAAAAATGGCGAACTTCTTATAGGTCATGAGGGGGTTAATGAGAGAATTGATTGTAAACAGATTTCTTTTGAAATAACTCCATAGTAATGAAGGCCATTTTTGTAAAAATGTTTGTTTCAGGTCTGTCTGGGATGATCAGTGGCGCCCACAATGGCAAGTCTTTCATCGTCGTCTACTACAAGGAACAGTCGGAGATCCCCGCTATTCTCAAGAATTTTTTCGCTGCCTCCTAAGATGTTCTTCTTGAGCCTTAGTTAAAAACTAAAGAGGGACTTTTATTTTTGTTTCTGTGTTGATTTTTATTGTATTCTAGATCTGTTCAATGTTGCGAGTAATTTGAAGTAGCTTTCTGTGGTTACTATCATCAGTTTAAGGGTCGGAATTTGCAAGCCTTATTGTTGTTATCATCACATTGATATATATGTATACACAGATGTTTTTTTAAAATTTCTCATTGTTGAAACTTTTACTATTAATGGATTAAAAAGGAGAAAAAAAAGTTTATTTTGCAAGACATTTTGTTATTGCCTGTTTTGGATAAGCTATTGATTTATTTGAAAGGTACAGGAGACTAATTGGTCGCTTTTAAGCACAAGGGGGCTACCCCTAAAAATGCTGTTTTGAGATAATCGAAGGTAAAGATTTTGCCCCTTGTTCAGTTTCTTTAAATGACAAGGAGAGTTTACTCTGTAACCAAACAAATATACACACCTATGAAACCAAACTTCTCCTACATGTCGGGAAATTCCCACTTTTCGGGTAGGTAAATATTTCTGGAAACCTCCAAATTCTGGGTTAGCCCGTTTGTCCTTAAAAGCGACCATATTATTGTAGCACCAGTGGCCTAGTTGTTAGGCTACCAGACTCATAATGGTGACGTTGTGGGTTTGGTGGTTCGAGCCGCGGGGCCGACGTTGTGTCCTTGGGAAAGTCACTTTACTCAAATTTTTTTCACTTCACCCACTTGGGAATGAGTACCTGGCCATAGACAGCGAAAGATCTTGTCAGTATGTAAGTGTTTTAGCGCCTATAAATGGCTGCTTACTCTGTGTGCTTCCCAGGAAGTTGAAGTTGTTTCAGAATTCTCTCAGGTCTGCTAGGGTACTAGTATAGATTGTGAAGCGCATAGAGCTTGCTGTTGAGCGAGGATTTGCGCTATACAGATGCTATCTGTGATTATTATATCACGACACAAGAAGGGTAACCGATCAGGTTTTGATTTAGATCTAGTAATATAAACCATTTTGGCGCCAAAATGAGAAAAGGCGTTTTGTCAGCTTACGGCAGTATTGTCCTTATCTCTCCTTTTTTTTTTTGGTTTCTCTCTTGCAACGCAACACCTCCAATCTTTGGCACTTATATGACCTACAATGTAGGCCTACTTGTGTTGCAATTGCCGTAAAACGCTTGCTAAAACTAAAACAAAAATGCTGGTAGCAGAGATTCAAAAGGACAACAGAAGAAAAACTTCAAGCTGAGTATCATACAATTTATTAGATTGAGCATGTAATGAAAAATGGCAGCAGATACATGTATATATACAGTATGAAAAGTGATTATTACAGAAGAACAATATGAAAAATGATTATTACAGTAGTAAATTACCGTATAACATGGATAGGCTGAACTCAGAAGACTGGAAACCACGCATGCGCCAAACTTTGTCTGCAGTCCCTTTTTTTTCTTCTTTATTTTTGTAAGATATCCCTCGAACTAACAAGGCCGGTCTCGAAGAATTCTAAAGCTATCCGTGTTATAGTATTATACTGTAGGGCCTGTGATGTAGTGAGTAGTCTTGTTAGATTTCTTAAAACAGGAAAGAAAGAGTGAGGCCGTGTGAAGGTCTGTAAAAGATTTGACTTTTCCAGTTTGTTGTTTTTCCCTCTCTTGTCCTCACCAAGTCTTCTCTAACTCTAAATCTAAGACACTGCAGCTTTATGACTATGAAATTTGAAGGTGTGGATGGTTGCAGGATGTCACTTTTACATCTCACTTCTTTCCTTTCCCTCTATCATTTCTTTCTGTCGAAATGTGATTGTGTTTCTTTTCACTCTGACAGTCAGCTCACATACTCATATGACCTTGTGCATTGCGAGCGCCGTAAAACTCTTAACGTGGGTGGTTGACGGGTGCTCTGGTGTGATTTGCTCCTTCTTTCCTATACAAAATCTATCGTCTCTATCTCCCCTCCTTTTTTGTGTTTGTTACTCTCTAGTAACATCTCTAATCTTCGGCACTTGACTTGTATGACCTTATTGTGTTGCAAGTGCCGTAAAACTCCTACTAAAACTTTTTTAAAAACATTTAACAGATAACAAATCCCCCCCAAAAACCCCCATTAATTAGCTCACTTGGTATCATGATGGCTTACACTGCAGCGCTGATGGCCCTGGTTTTTATCTCCTACAAGGCGTTCTCAGCTTGGGTTGATTTAGGGAGTTTTTAAGTAAGACTCACCACCCATAATTTGGCCAGGTCCTATCGGAGGCGGACGTTGTATTCGGAGGACTGGTTTCTTAAAGTAGACAGTTCAGTGATGAAAGGGGCATCAAACCTATACTATTATATATATAGCAAATTTTTCACTCAAAATGAAACGAGCAATTTTAAGATGGAAAAATCTGTTTTTCGAAATGACCATATTATAACATATAGTGCAGCCTCTCTATAACGACCTTCAATATTACGACATCATCTGTACAGCGACATGGTGCCCAGGTGCCGATTTTTTTCCATGTGTCATTAGTAGCTTTTGGTAGCCTCTCTATAACGACAACTCTCTATAACAACATTTTTTTCTGGTCCTGACAATGGCGTTATAGAGATAAGACAGGCTGCACTGTATAGGCCTATATAATTAATGCGCGTAAATATCTAATATATATGCCTAGCAGAGCAGTACTACTACTAGCAGAACATTTTAAACAAAACAAATGTCCTTGTACAAAGATTAATAAGTACAAAGCTATGTACACATAATGTATGTATCATCAATGATAGTACATAACAAGATGGGCCACTCAGCCAAAAAAGTGTCCGCAGGAAGTATGCTCTTTGCTTCAGAT